CTTTTAAGAGTTTAAAATGGATAAAGACTTTAAAGCATGTTTGGCAAAAAACCAATCTTTAAAAGTTGTAAAAGCACCCCTAACTAATATATGAAAAAGTTGTATATTGTAATTTGTACCTAAAAAAAGAAAGAGTAGATCATAATCTCACTTGTTGGACGGTGAGGATTCAGCTTCGGAAACGGCGTCGTAGCATTTAGACGCAGAACGTTGGGAGCACGATTTGGATATATATGTATTTTTTGTCTCCCATATCCCCAAGTCAGGGATACATTAACTTCAAACTTTCAATATTTCTATCAGAAACTTTTTAAGATTTTGTAATACTCCATAATAACTCTTCCCTTTTTCTCCTTTTTTACTCATTCTTATATAATTTTACAAGTTTTATCCCAAATTATACGTTGAATTATTTACATTTTATAATATAAATCAGAGTATTCGAGACATAATTGTATCGTTAATGCTTGATTGAGAAGAGTCTCCACTCTCCAGAGTAGTTTATGACTATTATCGAAGTGTTTTTTCTTTTTTTTGCTAAACTTTTTCAAATTATGGAAGTGTTAGGCGAGTGAAGATGTCATTTCAACGCAATCATCAAACACAACAAAATGAAAATGACCTAACGTATAATGTTTATATAAAGTGTACCTCCCAAACAATGGCACGGTCATGATTGATTTCTTTCTCACACTCTCTTAGAATTTTCGGAGCTAAGGAAGGCTGAAGAACCGATCAATGTCGAATTCTTTTTCGAATCTTTAATCATCGATTTTTTTTTTGAAAAAGGTAAATCGTCGATTTTGCAATCACTCTCCCTCCATCTTCATCTTCCGATAGTTTTTTTCCTTTCTTTGTCGATACACTTCTCGCCAGTCCGTCCAAAAATGCAGGCAAAAGCACCATTCTCTATTGCTCTTATGATCCTACAATATTTATCTATAAGTTTACAATTGTTCCGTGTAACCCATGATTTTTGCAGCTTCTCAAGATAAACAAGACAAAAGTAAGAGACATCAAAAAGAAGAAAATGAAAAACATCACAAAAAAGAAAGGAAAAGAGAATCGGAGGTTTAACTAGCAAATTACCCTTTCTTCTCCGGTGTATATTCGTGATCGGAATTTTCTCTTCGAATATTTTTCCTTTTGCTGGATTTACTACTTATAAGCTGATGAATTGTCTCTATGACTCATCATCTGTCTCTTTCTACACTTACACTGTTCTAAGCCTTTTATTTAGACATATACACGTACAAATACGTACATTCTTTTTTCATGTCGATAAGGACACGTATATGAGTATATGAATAAAGTTGACGACAAATTTTTGTTTTGTTTAATTTATAGTACGTAGAAGGTTATAACATATGGCCATATTTTGTTAGTTGAAGGAAATGTATATGTATGTTCCATTGATTAAAGAAGATTTAATTAAATGCAATATACTTTTATTTCCAAGGTGCTAAGAAATTAAGTGTTCTAGGTCAAACATATGTAACAGCACGTGCAAATGATAACAGTTGAATCTGCCTGAATTTTAAATGACATTTTACGAAATTTGGCAGAAAAAATTTAGATTCAAATGGTAACAGTCGAATCTAAATGAATTGCGGAATTGTTGATTTTTTTATTAAACTAATAAAATATTATTTAAACAATATTTTTTTCGAATTTAGAATTGTTTTATGTTTATAAATATATTAAATTTCACATAAAGTAATAATTTTTTTTATTAAAATTTATCTTCTGAACCTAACTTATTTCANCAATATGTTTTTTAGAAGTCTATTTAGCAAAATTTACAACTATTTTTACTATTTACAACTAAAATGAATAAAACTTTCAAAAA